TAAAAAGGTCGTAACGAAACTCCGATATGCTTTCCAATAAGAACGGCGCAGCGTGATTACAAACATGCTCTTTTCTCTTAAAAAAAACAAAAAAAAAACAACGCATCCAGTTACAAAGAGAACAAAACAAAAACATTTGAGTTGATACAGCCGGACAAGTTCTCACGTGCATCTCACTTCATCTTTCTATACCTATATAGCTGTCCTGGCGCCGGACAAGTTTCCTCGTGAATGTGTTGTTTTGATTGTCAACCCCGCCCCCACCAGCTTAAAAAAAAAACGCAAGGATTGACCTTTCATCTTCTCGGTTGGCAATTCGCTTTACCGGCGAATGTCGAAAATCTCGGTGGGTGCACAGCGATAATACTATGCTCGTGAAAAGTCACGACCTTGCGTTTATCACCCTGTCGAGATTAAGGAACGCACAGGCTTGGAGCGTCCCGAGCGCCGGATCGTCGTACCTCAACAAATAGGATTACGCATTTCCCGACAAGCGTACGCCAAAGTTTTAATCACGAAGCAAGAATGGCTGCGATTCCGAATCCGACAGCTACTCCGTTTTGACGCAAAATGAATACCTACCGCATCCATGGAGCGCAGCCGGCGTTGTCGGTAACCGCCTGTAGCAGCAAGACAGCGCCTGAATTCCCACTGGCCAAAAGCGCAGCAACGCAGATTCCTTGTCACGGAAGCCGGCGGGGCGCTCAAAATCAAAGCGGACGCACTTCGGAAATAAAACACAAATAAAAGCGCTGCAACACAGAGGCATCGTCACGGAAGCCGTGGAGCCGGCGGGGTTCGCCGCGCCGGCGCATTGGGGTGAACGTAACGTCACCGCCGGAGCGCCGCGTGAAAAAGGAGGACGTGGCACCCTGCTTGTAGGAATGCGCTGCTTGTAAGAATGTTTTCGCATTCCTACACGTAAGAAATCTTGAGTGTCTCTGCCACGCCCAGTGAATGCGCCGCGATCTAGCGCTTCGTTGTGTTCGGGATTGGTTTTGATAAAAAAAAAAAAAAGCACATAGAAAATTGAGCGGCCCTGATGGTGCACGTTTGTTGCTGCTTCATTGACGAGGTAGCATAGGAGACGGTTGGGACTTAACGTGGAACGGAGCGCAGAGTAGTTTGTTCTTTGGCACGCGAAGCAGCCTCACTAGTCGACGCTATAGAGCCTCTAGACCAGGGGTCTCCAACACGCGGCCCGCGGGCAGCATGCAGCCCCTCATTCGCCAACCCCCCCCCCCCCCCCCCCCCCCCCTTAAAAGGGTCGCGGGTCGCGGCCCACAGGCAACCGTTTGCTAGCTTCTGTTCCCCTTTCTCCAAGCTAGAAATGACGTACACTATAATCATCTCGTGTCGTCGATTCATTTTCTCTTGAAACACAACTCTGTTCTTCAGTTTTCACTTGCCTCGGTTTAATTTTTGCTTTCCAGGCTTCTGCCATGGTAATCACAGGTGGGCAATCCATTTACTATTACCGTCCTCAGAAACAATCCCGATTAAAATTAAGTATTTACTGCAATGGCTGCTATTAAAATCGCGAGGAAAGCAGAAACCACCATGTAAATATTATACTTTTATTATCGAGACATGCTAACATCGCTTAATTTCCGAGTTATTTGAGCACCGAGAACGACAGTGTGATAGCTCTGCTGTTCTATTAAAAAAATTAACAGCACGTTGGCGGGGCGGCGCATTCCTAACTTGTCATCACAACTGATAAGGGCCAAAGGTAGGCCAAGACAAATCAATATTAATGATGTCACTGGCGGAACTGCGAGTTTACACAAAGCACAGGGCATAAGGTTCATTCCTTATAAAATGTGTAGACCCCTCGCACACACTCACCCCCCCCCCCCCCCCCCCCCCCCCCCCGCTCTTCCGCCTTACGTTGACCGTCGACTTTTCGGTGGTGGGCTATCTGGCCCGCACACTTGACTAAGTTTGAGTCTCGAGCCTTAGATCAAGCATAGTAAAGTAGTAAGGTGGGCGAGGTGTTCCCTGTCATGAATCGTGCGAAATTTCAGCGCTCATTTTCTTGGTTGAATGTGTTGCATGTTGCACTCTAACCTCAAAAACACGAGTCTTCCGTTCAAAGGCACTAGAAAACTGATTTTAAAGCTAAATAAACGATCTTTCAATGTGCATCATGTGGATGCATGGGGAGCCTATTTGGGAGGTAGTCTAGCAACGTTCTGGAATCTGCTACGTAGTCGTGACGTAGCAGATTCCTTCGGAGGAGCGCCGTCCTTTGGAATTTCAACATTTTCCTTCTTAGCTTTCCTCCTAGCTCAACTCACAAATCGCGCATTGTACCAAACGGTCCAAGAAGACGGAGAGAAAGGACTTCCCTCTTTCTGGGACCCTCTTTCGCGCAACCGGACAAAGCCATTCTCCCCCTAGAAAATTAGCCCGTCGCTCCAAACTCGAACAAAAGTTGCTTTCCCCACCCCGTTCAGCCCTAAGCTGACAGTGTTGTGGAAGCTACGTGCTCCTTGGGCCAGCCACACGCTCGTCACCCCACGGGTTCTTCGAACGCCTCGGTTGTAACGCGCTGACGTTATTGACACCACCAAAACGCTGACAACGCCATCAACGGCAAAGCTCATAACCACGCCTTCCTTGCTACTCCACGAACGCGGGAAATCTTTTCTTTCTGTTTTTGTTTGCGCCGGATATCCCATGACGCATCGCGCTCTCCATTCGCTTCTCTTCGAGCGGTTGCTCGAGTGCACAGTTTGGAACGAAAAATGTAGCCAATCGTTCAAAATACAAACCCGTCATGTTTGATTCATCTCCGAACGAAATTTGAATATTTCAATTTTTGTTTCCGTACCCCTTTAATATACCAGAGTTGTGAGTACGCGCCTGTCTGTGTTCTGTGTTCCTTCCTCGTTTGTCCTTGTCTCTTCGTGCGCGATTTTTAACCATGTTCCATGTTTAGATCCCCCCTGTCAGTGCCTGGTTTCAAATGGGAAACCCCGCCAATAGGTGTGGCTAGACGACCTAGTTGCTTGGCCAATTAGTTCGGCATGAGGTAAGGCATATTTGAAGCTGCTGGAGGATATAGCTGGGGTAGCACAGGGGGAACTTCCTTTATTCGGGCGGCGGACTAATGATGAGAAGTGGCACGTTTTTTAGGACATTACCAGTGAAGATGTTCTATAACAGCGCAGCAGTGCAGTGTATTGCTTGACATAGTGATGCCGCTTAGTGCCCACAGGTATTCTTAAATAATTAAGGAGTGAAGTGGAATACCTCTCCGTTTCAGAATTGGAGAGACTGGCAAAGATCGCCATCCTTCTTTAAGAAATGAGACGTCAGTCCCAAACACATTTTATGAAGGAGTTTTCTTTAAGTGTTGTGAACATGTCGAAGCTTCCTAGGTATGATGCATTTGTTCCGGATTGCTGCGGCGCAAAGTGGTGTGGATAGCACGCAACCTTTCGGGAAGGGGGGGGGGGGGGGGGGGGTATATGGCGGATATTGAAGACGCAGACCTCTTAAAATTCTTTTGTGTAGTTATGAACTTCGAAGCACCTTCTGTTGGGAGTATTGTTTGGAAAGTATTTACATTATCAATTGCACTGGGTCTACCCCGCTCAAGAATGCTAAAACGTAATGCTAATGCGCCAGAAGCCTTATGTGAGATGTTTAATTCTACGAACAGTAGCGGACAATATATATTCTTTTCTTTCTCGGAAAGCATGTTGACTTTTTCGCGATATTCGCAGTGAGGCCAGCGGTGCTACAAAAGACTACTTGATTTCGCCGTGACGTAAAACAGTACGCAACTGATGCACCCTCATTGATTGGACGTCAGCAGTGCGTCAGCGGCAATCTTGACGCCGGCGGACAATCTGGTTTGGTGCGTGCTGTGTCACAGGAGTGATAAAAATCATCGATCTCTGACAAAGTGCGGCACGGGCTACGTCTGTCTGTGATAGACATCCCTGGCACCAATGCTTACGTGTCAACGTCACGAATTGAAGCGGTCGACGCTGATCAGTAATCTTCGATTTTATCCGGAATTGCATCTTCATGGACATGACAGCTGATATTTTAGTTTAAAAATCTTCCTGAACACAAAAACCAAGTTTTGTCATTGATCATCATCATCATCATCATTTATTTTCCTTGAGGGCCCCAGGGGGCATTATACAAGGGAGTGAACACAATAAAAACATCAACAAAAATAGTTAATAAAGAAACACAGGGTATGGCTTATTATCTTGGAGCTTCTTGCTTTGTGATTCTTTTTCGGTGTTTTCGTCGGCTAATGCCTCAATTTAATTGTCTGAATAGCAATATAAAGATGCCGGGGGCTCTCCATGCTTGGCCTCTCTTAGCTTGAGCCGCGCAGATACAATGGGCTTGAGCAAAAACTGACTTCCATTATACGTCTCTCCTTCGCCCAGCCTTATCATTTCTGCAGAAGCCCGATGAACTGGCCCACAAAGGCACGAGACCTCTAGATGTGTCACCAGCGTCTACTTCCTCTATTTCGTCAAGATTCCTCCGCCCCCCACCCGCCACCGTCAATAAGCCGCCATGACTCAATGCCCGAACGCAATCTTCCACCGAACCCGATCCTTTCCGAGACAAGGCGACGTTCGTCACTCGGCATCGACACTCCGTCAACATCCACTTCCTCCGAAAGCAGGAGCCTGCTGCCGGGCCGCTTTCCTCGTGCCACGAAAGACGTCTTTCTTCTATCAGGTCCGTGACAGAAGCCAGGCGGTCCCTCGAAACCGACGCGTCTCTAGAAGCCCGCGGCCTGCGGCGAGCGATGGACCGATAGACTCCACAAGAAGGGTCAAGGGTGCTTAGACGTCCCTCGCCCATTTGTTTTTGTTGTTTTCCTTTACACGTCTTCCCCTCAGTTCGGCTCATTCTCTCCCCGCTGGAGCCCTCGCGTATGTGACGACTTCCCTTTCCCTCATTTTTGAAAGGAAGCCAGCAGGAGGTTTAGTCAAACGGCTGACGACGTCACGAGCCGAGGCATTCAGCTTGTCCGCTGTGAGGTGATGGGTCGTGTTTACTGAGCGACGCGGTTCGGAGAAAACGGATTACGGTGGATACGTCGTACGAGGGAGAGAATTTGGAAGATAGCGAGGGGGACGACAACCCATTCAGGTTCGAACTTGTTAAAAAGTGTTCGGCGAAGCCGGTCAGTGAGCAAGTAGTCTCGAGGCAGCAACTTTGTGCAAACTTGGTTTGGAGGTAGTTAGTACTCGGTGCAGTGCAACTTGCTTTTTGGTGCATCGCGGTCTGGTCATTCTTTTGAGTTTTGAGAGATATTTAATCATGACGATGTAACTGCGCTTTGTGCAACATGACTCCGTGAATTCACGTGGCTTTGAGCGACTGGGCTCTATGCTGCTGCTGGCTTTACTGGAACTTAATCATTAGTTTCTATCCAGTGCAACTTAATTTTCTTCGACGCGCTTGAGCGTGAGACCCTGCATTTCAAACTCATCTAAAAGCTTCTGAAACAAGTTATTTCTTTTTTAATCTGAATCGTTCTAAAAGAGAATTCGCTCTTCGAAATCTCCCAAGAAACGAAGAAGCTCGGAAAACTGCCCTGCATATCAACGAGCGCGCATGAACGGCTGATTTTCATCTCTGAACGTAGATAGACGCAAATCACCTTCGTTTTTGCCTTGGTTGTGCCTGTGCTTGTGAGGACCCTGACGAGGTGTTGTGACATAGTGCCTTTGCTGCTGACTAAAGTTTTTAGAGAAGAAGGAACGTGTTTTTTGTTGGTCAGCTGACCTAGTACCTCATCATGGTCAACTCCACCACAAGAGGAAAACTGCAGAGTTTGCTCCTTTGGATTATCAGCGCAGCTTCTGTTGCGTGAGTATCTTTGAGAGTGTTCTCAAAATTGCGTAATAATTTGAACCGAAAGAATTTTTGTTTTTTTATGAGAGCTTTAGCAACTACTCAGCAATATGTTAGACATCTCGTTGCAAATGTTATCTCTACGTTTATTATGTGGTATCCGCTATAATTTGAGTGTATTGAAAACTGAGTGAGTGTCCAATTGTTCGAACTGGTTCGACCTCTTTGTCTTTCATCCTTGTATTACTTGATCAAGTAGCCGTGATTTAAAAGGGCGACGCAAAACTTTGCGTGCTTCAGTAAACCCAGAAAAAAAAATTAATTGACAGTCATAACTTATAGAAGACGAGTTAGGATATTTTTATACGATATGGCAGTCGTAGACGAAATTCGAGAAAAACAAGCAGCCAGTAGAAGCGGTCACACTAATGTTTTTGTGACACACCAATGTTTTTGGGGTTGACAAAGGTGAGTTCCACGCATTGATAAGGTTCGGCTACTCTTGTCATCCCAGTGGCTGGGCACGGGCCGCAAACCGAATGTATGTCAAGGCATTGACTCTCACGTGCCAGAAGTCGAGTGCGCACGCAGTGTTTGTGTCATCTGTATGAACCACATTTAAATATCGTCAACGCGATGATCGCAAAGCTTGATGGCGAAATTCAGGGGGTCGCAATATTCACCGTGACAACAATCTGATCGGGTCTCGCGAAGGAGATACCGAAGAAAAACGACCGCTTTTATCTTTAAACTTTTTTTGCTACAAACGAGCTTCTTAGTCAGTGGCGTTGTGTGCCAGTGTCACATTAGGGCTAGTAGGCTTGTGTAATGTGAGGAACATTATTAGTACGTAATATCGTTCTACACACCCTTTAATATCTTTAATATACGTCAGGCACCCTATGTGTGCTGTTCCTGCATCTGAAATATGGGTACACTGAATGGGCACATCCTTAAACTACCTAAATGTATTTGTAAGTAAGAGGCAGAAAACGTTGAGCCTCCAATATAGCAGACGGTGAAAAATTTTGAAAAAAGACGAACATACGTGATCACTCTAGTAACGATATTTGGAGTAGTCACTGAAGGTTTTGTATTGGTACTGGAGAAACGGGTGTTTACAATGAGCCCATTCACAAAGTGCATAAAATTGCAGCCTACTAGCATTGGGTCCTCAATGCAAATTAAAACATGTTAAAATAGCGATGCTGGCTCTGAAGTAGGAACTGATTCCTGCGTAAAGCGGGCTTATTCAGAAGCTTACACAGGCCAATTGTTCTGTAGTTTGTTTTACTTTTTTATTTTTTTTACAATACTTCACGTTTCCAATCTTTACGTAACCCCAAGTTCATTACAAATGTCAGAAGTCTGCGTCCACCCCGTAAACTTGTATCTCATGGTGTTGTAAGAAATTATTGCCGATAACTTCGTCCTTAGTACGATTTAAGGAACAGAGTTGATAGCCGTTGTTCGCTGCTGTAAGTCTTTAACGTTTGCTGATCGTGTGCTACTTCTAGGAACGAAATTAAAATATTGTTATATTCTTTATCAAGACCCATGCGGACTATGAAGAAGCAAACTAATATATCTGGAGCGTATATTTTCAAGCAAAACACCTGGTGAAGTCAATCGCTGTACGCTACAGAGGCAGATCGGCGAATGACGTGGCTATTCTTATTTGAAGACGAAAAAACAAAATAAAAATTCTAGTTTGTAGCACTGACCATTGTGAAGCTCAGCTACACAGCACACTAATTTTTTTTAAGTCTAAACTTAATATCAGTCTCGTCATTGGCCGCGCTCCATTCACAGCCCTACCGAAAAATCCGGTATAACTTTCCCTATCCGGAATATGGAAGCAGAAATTTGTTGCTGGAAAGCCGAAATCCAGATTGCAGACAAAGGAATAATTTCTGAAAACCTAAATTCCAGATAGAGTCCAGATAGAATTCAGATAGATTGCCGGTTCCATAATCCGGATAGCGAAAAGTTATACCGGATTTTTCGGTAGGGAGACTGCAGTGATCGTCTCTCTCATGTGCATTGTGGGAAAGATGAAGCTAGAGAAATTTTAGGGCGTTGATAACAAATATAAGCGGGTCCGATAAATAAATGCGCCCAGGACACGTCCAATATTAACCTGTATTGAACTTACATATGCTTGCCGAATAAGTGTAATGAAATCGGGGAATTAGAACTGCTCAGACTTGTATTTTTAAACATAGATCATAATTAAGAATTATTATGATTATAATATTATGCGGGCAAATTTTTACCTTAGGTTAAATGTGGCAATTACGGTAAAACGTCTTGCAGGGTAAAAATGTTCGTTATGTGAGATTTCCCTCTCCTTTATTTTTCTTGTTTTCAATCAGCTGAACAATTTAATGGACAATTTAGAAACTTTCAAAACTTCGAACTGACAGCTTATGCAGCGGTAAGAAAACATTTGGGCCATGATAAGAAAGGCCTCAGTATATGGGATATGACTTTCAGAGAATGCACTGTTCATCTGTCAAATAAATCGAGCTTGACTGCACGAGTTAAGCATGTAAAAAATGTAAAACTTTGTATCTTTGATTTTGCAGTCAAATACTTACAATCTTTAGAGTCACACACTTTAAGGCATTTAGTGAGCGTAAGAAGAATGTTTTCTCTCAAAGGCACTCCGAAGAACAAATCTCGGAAATTCATTGCGTAAGCACGTGACTTTCAGTATGATATAAGAACGCGAAGCGTCACGCTCAAAGTCCTAATGCAGACTGCATTATAATAGTTTCTTTATCTTAACAGCGTAAACGTATTTTGAGCCTAGCCATTCGCCAAGCCCTATCAATCGATTGCAGCGATCTCTCGCAAATGCTTAACGAAAAATAAACTTACTGAATTGCTTGAAGGGTGAATTGCAGAAAAATGGACTACGGTAAGTAAAATGCAGGCTGTCATAAAAAATATTTTCTTTTGCACAGGAATTCTTAATTTTTGGAGATTGTAGCCTTCCCAACCTTCAACTAATAAGAGATCGCAATTTTCGAGAGCTTCCCTCAGATTCGGTGCGACTTAGGCGTATGCTCTTATCTTCATATTGAACAATATGATATTTGGCACATTGTAATATAAAATTATTACGAGAGGTACGCGAAGTCCATTTTCTCGAAACGTATGCCTTATGATTCATGTTTTTGGTAAATACCAAAACACTCCAGCAAAAACCGAGCCTTTTTCTTTTCTTTTTTCATTTGGTGAAGCACAAATATAAAACGCAAATAACACTCGTGGAGCTGTACTTGAATAAAAAAAGATCAGACTTCTCGGGAAAAAGATCGTCCCCTAAAGCTTTGTTTTGTGCTCACCCGCAACGCACCCCCCCCCCCCCCCCTTTAAAATGGACATGAGATTTCTTGCGCCGGAACCACTCATGTTCTCAGTTGTCATTTTCTTATTGGTATGGAAGCTTTTTCTCAATGTTCAGGTCACGCTTGCGCTATCTGGAATTCAGAAAATCTCATGCCCGTGTTCTAATTTTTTTTCTTTTACATAAGCTCCAATAAACATTAATCTATGGTAAGACACCAGAAATTCACTACGCAAAACACCAAATTTGTGGTGAAAAATTTTTCATATAGAAGACACAGAATTCTAAGAAAATTATGCTCCGAAAACACGGGACCCTAGTAATGCTCGTAGACGGTCACTGATTCCAAGGATACTTATAACTGTCAATTTTCTAATTACGTAAGGGTCCTTTATGAATTTTCAAATTCCTTTTTATGGGATGTGTTTACACTGGAAACTTCAAAACGACCTTATCCTAAGACATCTATCTTCTTTTTCTTTTTTTTATTCTTGCAATTAGCCCGCGTTTTGAATGTTGCGTCTCCGAATTTGCAACCGGCTAAATACGGATTCGGCAACGCAAAGGTCGGCGTAAAAGCCTCCCACTGATTGATGCTGGTTGTGGCGTGTGACGTGCCGTATGACAACGTTTCGGAGCTGATGCCCTTTCCTCACCCGGCTCTTCGCTGGCAACAAAGTGATATCAGCTCTGCTTCTTTGCCGTACGCAATATCATACGCAATATTGGAGAGTTTTAGTATCGCGTATAGAAGCCTGGAGCAAATGCAAGCGCTGCGTGTTTGCGTCGCGTGCTTCATGCTGGGCATGCGCGTTGTCGCCATGCGCCAATCCAAGACCACAGTTTGGCCTCCGCGCACATGCAGTCTCGAACACTCAACTCTAATGCAGACGCATAGTGCTTGCGTTCGCCCCTATGCGCAATACTAAGACTCACTATTATACTATTACACGCGACGTCCTGCGTCACACCAGGAGGGCTTTTGCGTCGAACTTGACGCATTTGAAAGCGGATTACGCCTGACTGAGTGACATATTTGGAGACGATTATCACAAAATACTTTCTGCCTAGCCCCCCCCCCCCCCGCCCCCCCCCCCCCCTCCAAAAAATAAAAATCAGAACACGTTTTTTTTAGATTCTCGATAATCCCACATAACCGAATAAAGTAGTTAAGTACTTTATTAAGAGATACTTACTTAATTATGGAGTTCACAGCTACTTCTAGTTTTGCAAATTTGCACTTAGTGATCGTCAGGTACAAAAACAAATTTTGAGCAATTGCCGTAAGTTTCTTTTTTTTTTTTAAGACACGTGGAACGTTTATTTCATCATCCTGTTTAGGGAAGGATTTTGCTTTGATCTTGGCATGCAAACTTCCACAAGGCACCTGAGCGAATCGAACAAAGCTAACCTCCTCAACCAGTGGAAACTACAATCCCCTGAGTGGTTTCCTTGAGGCTTATACCTTGAATGTCCGTAATAGCCACGTACCTGAGTTTCATATGCTGAGAACACGTGTTTTACACTTGACATTGAAAATAAGCGTTGAAATTTCCGACACCGTACCGATAGACCACAAGCGCGAATCTTGAATATTCGCGGATCATGTGGTGAAAGAAACCTAAATGCCGTGACAGAAAGTCGTGAAGGAAAGGCGACA